TTGTAATTTTTTTTTCTTCTGACTGTTTAAGACTTTGTCACCTTGTCATCTTGCATGGCTAATGTACAGAGTCCCGGAACGTCAACAATTCAGCAGAAATCAAATCAAATGAAACAGTAGTGTTTTTTGCAAGAGTTCTACCTTGTGGCCAATTAAAATACGGTTTATTACCCCCCCCCCCCCCGGGTGCAGGAGCTGTTCCTGGTACGTCGTGTCGCTAGGTGATACTCGTTTCGTTCTTCTTTCATTCTTTCCTGTGCTTTAATACGTCTGCTGTCCCAGAGTACTACATTTAGGGGTTCTGTCCCACATTAGTATTCAGTAATAATTTGGTAGAATTTATAGTACATGGGGATTCTATTCTGTGTGAAATTTGTTGTTACGGAGGCCTACAGTCCACGCAAATAAGAAATTACGGCATCTGTAAGAAACATTCGGACTTGTGAAACGGCTTTAAAATGTGTTCATTTTATTACAGTATCTTACATTATACATACATCTTTTACATTATATTACGGGAGGTTTAGATTAGAACTTCCCTCCCACACACACATTCCTGTGCCTGAGCCAAAGTTAAAGTCTGGCCTGCTAGCTGAGGAGGCGCTGAGGAGGCGCTGAGGCCCGCTCCAGCTGCCCTCGGGATGCTCTGCGTGGGGGTCGTGCAGTGCAGTGCAGTGCAGTGCAGATGCTGTAGAAACATTCCAAAGGGAATGCGAGCGTCACCGAGGAGCTGGAGAAACGGGAAACGGATTTTTAGAATGAGGGCACTGAGGATCCTTGCCATCACGGTCTGTCATGGACGTGTGAAGGTTCAGGTTCCAGCCTTGGCCTGCGTTGTGTTCTAACAGTGAGATCATTCTCTGCTTTCTGTTCTTCTGTTTCATCCAGCCGCAATCAAACAACAACAAAAACAATGTTGTGGGCGGCAACAAAGACAGCAGCTCTTCATCTGTCCCAATGGTACCTCCTCTGAACTTCCTTTGTTTATTGCACCTGTCCATCGCCGTTGTGGCTTTGCTTTGGGTTTGAATTGTCCTTTTGCCTTTCCACTCTGTTCTGTTTGGCCCAACCTGCTTTCCGTGTCTCTTCAGTCATATTACCCAGTCGAGTAAAGCGGATGCATCCACAGCTGGCTCCTGTTTTACGCACAACCCCCCTCCAAAATGTTTGTCTGTCCCCCTTTCGTTTTTGTGGTTTGTTTTTTGAATGAAGCTTCTCGTTAGACCTTGTGAGGGTAGGCATGTGCTTTGCCCCCAAATATTGATGGGTTCTGGAGTCGCCTGAGATGTAATTTCTCGTGACTTTCAATATTAATTCTGGAATTATTGGCTTATTTTGTTAAGGGTTTGACCATATTAGACCTCCTTGGTCATCTGATGGAAAAAGAAAAAAAAAGGTTCTGAAGTTCACAGTAGGCGGGTTAATTAAACATTAACCCATTAATTCCTGTAGGATTAAATTTCTCATTGGCTTGACACAACATGGTAGTCTGAGGAAATGTAAGATGGGAGCCAGAATTACTAGGAAACATCTGTGAGAAGATGCAGCCTCCATGTAAATGAGAAGTAATGCAGCTTCTGAGAAGCCCTCTGGAATGTCGAGGCAGAGCGGTTCACATGGCCGAGATCTTGACGATTAATGATGAGTACGAGGTTTGGTGTGGCAGGGAGACTGGCCTGCATGGGCTTGCTGAGTGTGCATCTTTGGGTCCGGTCCTGTCTCGGCCCGGTTGGTGTGGTATGGCTGTGGTTGGCTGAGAAGGGGGCACCGCTCACTTGATAGCGATATGATCCCCTTTTGAGTGGGTGTTGGACAAAGGTGCCGGCCTGGACCCCTGCCCCCCCCAGCCATCCTTGCCTTTTATTTTTCGTCTCACCATGCTCACATTCCTTAGCCGTTTAGTCCCCATAACTTTCTGTGCTCGTCCATTTGCACTGGCTGAATCCTCCATTGTTAACTGACATGTTACCATCTCCACTTGTACTTGACATCTTGTTTTCGACCCTACATTTGCTGTATTTTTCTGACCCCACAAGATGGCGCTGTTGCTTTGTTTTCGGACGTGCTTTGTACCCTTTTTTGAGCAGAGAGCACCATTTAGTGGGGTCACAAAATGCAGCAAGTCATCAATGAGGCGTCATTTCGTCCATCACCACTAAACTCTCTCCCCCTACCTCCTCCAGGAGCCTCAAACCACTGTTGTTCACAACCCTGCTGATAGTGTCAAGGTAGGCCTTCACTTCACTCTCTCCTGTTCCCTTGGCTGTATTTGTTCCTTTTCCCATCGCAAATGAGATGTTCTGGTTGGCCCAGATGCCCAGGGCTGAAAGGGCTGATACTTTCATTGACACTTGTAAAGATGCTTCTCGCAGAACTTGGTGCCCCGCTTTGTGAGTATTGCTGACGCATTCTCTCTGTGTGTGTCTCTGTTTGCCTGTCGTGTCTTTATGTTCCCTCTCTCTGTATTTTCTTGCTTTTCGTTTTTGTTCCCTCTTTCTCAGGGCTCCACCGAGAGCTCCAACACCACAGAAGAGGAGGAGATGAAAGCTAGCAAAGGTACTTTCTTGCCACGATGGGCCTGCTCTGCATGTCTCTGGGCCTGCCCTCCATGTCTCTGGGCCTGCCCTCCATGAGGTTTTGATCCCTGTGCTGTTAGCCTGGTCCTGGGCCTGCCNTGGGCCTGCCCTCCATGAGGTTTTGATCCCTGTGCTGTTAGCCTGGTCCTGGGCCTGCCGGTGGGGCTGGGAACACTGATGTGGCACGGTCCTGTTCTCCCTCGGCTCGAGATGCTGATGCTGCCGTCATGCTCTTCCTGTAGCCTAAGTCTGGTCTTATAGCAAAGGGCACTCAGGCTTATGTGGCCATGAGCCGAAAAGAGACGAAGAAAAGACATTCAGTCAGCACATAACAGGATAAGAGGAAACAGAAAATGCATGTGCCGACACAGGACTCCATCATTTTGAGATATAATTTGTGTAGTAAGAAGTGTATGTACTTCAATATTTTGAATGTTAATTTTGATTCTTAGTTTCGTACCGATGTGTTCTTGCATCCACATTTTGATGTAATGTTTCACTTGTAACTATAACCATTGAGATCAAATGGAGTTGAAGGGGGAACGGCTCCAGTGTGCCTGTCCCGCCTCCCAGCTGCACTTTCTCTCTCCTGATTGGGTGGTTGCAGTGTCGGGGCACGGGGCCAGCTGCGACAGTGCCGTGATGAGCCAGTGCAGCGCCACTGAAGAGCCGCCAATGCAGCGTCTGCTGGCCAGTAAGCCCCGCCCACCGGTCACTCCTTAGCCGACTGTGATTGGCCATCTCCTGGATGATGTTCTGCCCCTTCCTGCTTTTCTGCTTCTTCACATCGGGGCTCCCAGTTCTTGTCGTCCCTTTGGATCCTGGGCTGTGCTCCCTGTTAACCCGTGTACTGGATGTTCTCCTGCTGCTCTGCCGTTCATCTCTACCTCCAGGCTTCTCATTTTCTCCGTACTTTCCGGAGAACTGGAGCGTATTCCTCCTGCATACCCCGGCCAGTGACAGCACTACTCTGCACCTTCCCCTCCTGTAGATACCTCCTTACAGTCTCTTCTCAGTGCACGTGCTACTCGGCACTGGACTGAAAGCTGACCCTTCTCCTATGGATAGACATATCACTTGGGAAAAGGTTCTTCTCTTCACCATTCCTCTTCCTTGTCCCCCAGCCTAGTCTAAGGTGCTGTTCACCTGCAGTAGCTCTCCCTGCCTTCTGTGTGACCATGGCGGTTGGCCTCATCCTTGTCATACCTCCACGCCGCCACATTAGTGGGGTATGGTTACTGCCATGCCTCCCGCTCCCCCACTTCCTGTTTTTCTCTGGTCTCCGCTTCTCATAAAGCACTCTTGCCCTCAGTGGATTTCCGTGTGTGTTTGTGGGACAGTCAGGACAGAAAAAGGTAAATCTGTGGGGGCCCTCTGGGTGTTTAACGGCTCTGTGATCTCCTCACCGGCTCTGCCTGCCGAGGGCCCGTGGGTCTCCCTGCACACACAGATGTTCTGCCACGTCAGGCTCCCTGGCAGCCGCTGTGACTGCTCTGCTTTGTTTGCCTGCCCCTTGTGAACCTGGTGCATGTCCAGTGTAGCTGTTTTGAAGGCTGTTATCTGTTAATCGGCTGTTTTATGTGGGATTCCGTGAATGACTTGTTTGTCTGTCCTGTGGCTTGTGGTCTTGTGTGTCCTTGTTCATTACTTAAAACTGACCCTTTGCATGATGTACAGGACATTCATCCACAGTTGAAGCATGTCCCCACAATCTGCTAGCTCGGGACAGTACTGTACGTCAGTGTGAACACTGTGCACTTTCTGCACCTTTCACTTTGTCGTGTACTCATAACCCTCATAATCACATACTCAGCCTCTCATAGGTACTTAACACGCTATAAAAGTCAGTAAAGGGAAACAACTGAACATTTAAAAACCAAACATTTAAGAAGGTGGAAACCTAGAACTTGTGAACATTCCACTGACACTGGGACAGTAGAACATGTGAGCATTCCACCGACACTGGGACAGTAAAACGTGTGAACAATCCACCGACACTGGGACAGTAAAACGTGTGAACATTCCACCCACACTGGGATAGTAGAACGTGTGAGCATTCCACCAACACTGGGACAGTAGAACGTGTGAACAATCCACCGACACTGGGACAGTAAAACGTGTGAACAATCCACCGACACTGGGACAGTAAAACGTGTGAACAATCCACCGACACTGGGACAGTAAAACGTGTGAACATTCCACCGACACTGGGACAGTAGAACATGTGAACATTCCACCGACACTGGGACAGTAGAACATGTGAACATTCCACCAAGTTTGACATTGATGATAGGAAATGATAGTGAAGGGAAGTATGTTTTGATATTAAGAGGTATGGATTGGTTTGCATTAACTGATTGAGTTTGGCGCTTTATACCTATTCTTTGATCCATCTCTTTCTCCTCCCTCAGGAAAAAAAAATCACTGTTGAAAATTCACAGTATAACTGTAAACTTGTTTGCCCGTTTTGTGAATTGATACACTTTTTATGGTTCTACTGTGAAATCTATAGTTCAACTGTAAGCTTTCTGACTGTGAAGTTCACCAGTTTACAGTTAAGCTGTGGACAGTTCAAGGTTCTACTGTGAACTACTTTACAGTCAAACTGTTAATTTCACAGTGTCACGATTCATGGTTCTCCTGTGAATGTTAGTCAGATTCACTATCAATTTAACAATCCCAGTAAAAGTGAAACTTATTGTCCTGTTCATTAGTGCCTCCTACACCATGACTTAAAACTTACTGCACAACATTACCATTAACTCTTCCATGGTGGAAATGATAAAAGTTCGTAGTAGATAGAAATATTCATAGTTGAACTGTAAACTTCATTGCCAGAATTATTAAATGCCAGAAGAGGTGATCATGAACTTCAAAATAAAACAAGAATTTGCACTTCTAATATGAAACATTCATGGTCAAACTGTAAACTTTGTAGTAGAACTATGGATGATTAAGGTTTAACTGTAAACTTCCCAGTTTTACTGTGAACTGTCACAGTGCATTTTTTCCGGGGTTTCCCACCCACTCTTGCTAATTTCCTCCCTCTTCCTTTCTCCACCAATTCCTCGCTCTGTATTTTCAGCTCGGAAGCAGGAGATCATCAAGATCACAGAACAGCTGATCGAGGCCATCAACAATGGAGACTTTGAAGCTTACACGTAAGCCGCACCCCTTGTCCCAATTCCCAGAATCTGTGGGGATCCTTTGCTGATGTCTTGTGTGTCCCTCCACCTTCAGGAGAATATGTGATCCTGGCCTGACCTCCTTCGAACCGGAAGCACTTGGGAACCTTGTGGAGGGAATGGACTTCCACAAATTCTACTTTGAGAATTGTAAGGCGCTCTTCTATTCTGGGTATTTTGTGCGGTATTATGACCGTATGCGTAATTCCTCATGATGTTTTTCCCGTTTTTGACATAGGAGTAATGTCTAGCTGGATGTATACGTGAGTGTGTGTGTGTGTGTGTGTGTTGACAGTGTTGAGTAAGAACAGCAAGCCGGTGCACACCACCATCCTGAACCCGCACGTGCACCTGATCGGCGAGGACGCGGCCTGCATCGCCTACATCCGCCTCACGCAGTACATCGACAGCCAGGGCCGGCCTCGCAGCTGCCAGTCGGAGGAGACGCGCGTCTGGCGTCGCCGCGACTCCAAGTGGCTCAACGTGCACTTCCACTGCTCTGGAGCACCATCTGCACCCCTCCAGTGAACTGCAGCAGGCCGAGGTGTGTGTGTAGATGTTTGAAATTCGTTGGTAGATGAGCCAGTACCTGCACAAAGGCACACGCATGCATGGACACCCACTGAAACACAGGGGTACAAGTTAAGGTTTATGCCACTGAAGGTGCATACACGGGTGTATTTGGTGTATGCTGTCAAGTGTGCATGTGTGCACACGTCTAATTCTGCGTACATGTGCACAAGTAGGCGGGTTTAAGTGAGGTCTGCCTGCAGGAAATTACTTGGTGGTAAAGCCAATAGTGGTTTTTACCTCCAGTAAAACCATGTATTGACATGGGGCCCCCAAACTTTTTTTAAGTGGGGGCCCAGAAACAAGAAGCGTGTGGTAACCGGAACCAGAATCATGTGGTGTATCTCACTGGGATTTAATCCCTAAAATGACTCCTCCCTCCCCTTTCCCCGCTTCCCGCCCTTCTGTCTTGGGCAGCTTGCCTGATTTCTTAGGGAGGCTGGAGCATTTCGTCTCCAAAGTTGGATCGGCGCCCAAGACTGGTTGGAGATGACGTCTCAGCGTTAAACAAAAAAATTGAGGGTAACAAAGTAACAAAAAATATATATACAAATGTAGAAACCACCTGAGAGCAGCACCACTAATCCAGTGTAATCCTAGGCTAGTCAGACGGTGGGGGCCAGTTGCCGTGGCAGCTCGGCCTTGGGGGTCAGTGCATGCACCTGCTGCCCACAAGGGGGCGCCGAGTCGCCCCATTTTCACGGATCCAGCTTCCTTGCCCGTTTACAATGTCCAGAAGGTGTGTTAAAATATATCTTAAATTACGTTTATATATATGCATAAAATTACTATAATAATGATAATGAGTTGTGTAAGACAAACATTTGTGTAAGTAAACATAGGAGATGCAGAAAGTGAAGTTCAGACTGAAAGAGGAAAAAATGCACACAAACCTGAAATTTTTGAATGTACATTTCAGGCTTTGGACGCAACTCTTCACGTATGATAGGGTGTGTATTCTTAGACAAAATAAGTGAGTCTCAGAATTTAAAGCACCAAAGTCTAGACTTTAGGCATTTAAAAACATTTTAATGTTAGTTTTTTTCTTTGGAAGAGTGGGACAGATTTTTTCGTACTTGGCTGTGTGTTTCTCAAACTCTTGAGTTATTGTATTTCGGGGTTTTTTGTGTTTCCAGCAAAATAATTTTTAAAAGGGGGATATTTTTAATTTAAACTACATATTATGTATTTATGTATGTAGGCATGTGTATGTATGTGTATATACACACATGCAAGTATAGATGTTATGTAAATATAAGAGCGAAAAGTGAAATTTGAGTTCACTTTCAGGGTTTGAGAAAGGAGTTTTGTGTCTTTGTACTGTCTGTATGCTCTCTGAAAAATCATCCCTTCTGCTGCTTACTAGGCAAAAAATATATATGTACACAAATATGTGTGTGTGTGTGTATATATACATATATATTTTAAAAAAAAGGCACAAAGACTGAACTCTAAACCTCCGTTGGGTTGGGGTGTCTCACTGCACCAGCCCCCTCCCGGCCACACTTGAAGTTGCAGAATGCACACTGTGCTCCGTGCTTAGGACGGCGTTCGCAGCCCTTAGGGAGGTCGGGGTTCATTCGGGCCGCAGAGCGACTCTGACCATCGCTCGAGCTCTTTCTGTCCAGGCAGAGCTGCGCACAGCTCTCGTGCCGTCCCGCGCAGACCTTCATTTCCGAACCCCAAACTGATGCCGTTTTGGGCAATTTAAAGGGAGAGATTTTCCTTTTGTTTATTTTTTTAATGGCGCGAACTGTTTAGCACGCTCACTTTGAGACTCGATACTGTTACGTTCACTGTAGGTGGACCTTCTGCAATTTCAGGTTGGCCTTTCCCTGCGGGGGACTCGGGGAATGGGGGACTCTGGACCATTGATTTTCACCCCCCCCCCTCTCCGTCCGTCAGTCTGCCCCTTTGGGTGCTGTTGCTTTTGTTGTCCCGTGACATTTGTTTTGCCCAGTGTCTTCTATCGCTGACCCTGTAAGGCTGGTTAAGGACCGTACACTGTTCCTGCTCGGGGGGGAATGTGCTCCTGGTTACTTGTCACATGATCTGAGGTTTCACAGGGTGATTATTCAAATGTATGTTTCAAGCAAGGGTTTAGTCCGTTGATTTTTATCGTTCCTGTTTGTGGTGGTTGTGGCAGTGGTGTTCTCGTGACGTCTCGTATATTTTTTTTCCTAAAAATAGTTGTGGAATTGGATAAGAAAGTTCAGACCCAGGGTATTTTGTAGGGAGGGAGTCAAACACACGCACACACACACACACACACACACAGATAGACAGAGTTACGGACACACACACACACGGAAACGGTACCCATGAATCTGTAGTATGGTTACAGATATCAAACGGCACAGTATACTGGCATGTGATCCGAGTGGGGGGGAGAGAGAGAGACACATATACATACACACACACACACAAGTTTGCACAGACTGCAAGCGGGGCTGTATATAAAGATGCCACAGCCAGCCAATCAGATATTCCACATCTTCCAGCAGGGTCTGCTGATTGGTTTAGCGGTATGTTTTTAATGTAGGCCTATGGGAGAGCATTTACAAACAGAGGTTGGTGGTGAGGGACAATTCCCCAAAACGAAGAACTTCTGCAACATCATTTTCTATAGATATATAAATTGTGACACTGTGCCCCCCCCCCACCTTGTTCTGCATTCTCGCGTCCCTGTGTAACTCGCTGTCCAGCTCGTCATATCACTGCCGTATCGCGACCCACGTGACGTACTCTGAAATGTCAGTATATCCCCTCCTGGACTTGATGTATGCTGTAGGAGCTGGCTGCCTCGTTCAGCCACACAGGGTTCATTGTTTGTATGTAGGCGTGCAAGGCCAAGGATTCTGCGTGTGGATGACAATTAGCTGTTGCAGTTCACTGCAGAGCCAATTGGGGGAACAAGAGACACTATTCGAGGGTAGTAAAGTACACAACTGGCAGTGCAGTGCCAGTGCTCAGCTTGTTTGCAGTGTACTCAATCTTGATTATTAGAAGCCACACAGATTATTAAGAAAAAAAAATTATATATGCAGTTTTACAAAAAGGAAGATATATGCATGTGAACTTTCTGGTTAAAACACTTAAAATCTATGTTAGTTGCATCTGAGGTAAATGAACTGGTCCATCTTAAGTGGGGAATCACCTTTTAAGAGAAATGGTGACAATGAGAGGCCTCCGCTTGGTATACTCCATCCTTATTAGCCAATCTGCTGCATTGTGACAGTGTATTATGGGCCAATTTCAATATATGCTGAGTTTTAAATTTGGATGCTGGATTTTGCATGATGACAATTTAAAAACATGAAGTAACAAAACTCAAGTGTTTGAATGTTAAGTCTTCATCATAAGTTTGTTATTACTGACTTGATCTGAAAAGTATTTAATAAAAATAACCTTTAATGCTCCTGTCTGCTTGAGTACTTCGTGGTCGGCCGTGATCCTGCAAACTGAAAGCGGATCTTCAAACAGCAGCAAACGTTTCACAGGTGCACATACAGATTTATTGGTTCAGTATTTCCAGACTACAACAGACTTCTGACAGGGATTGTTAAATTGATAGTTACATTCAATCATTGCACCTATACCACTAAACACTGCCTATTTGTTATGTTAGGTTCTAGGCTCTTCTGTTACGCAATGCCAGAGAACAGGCAATTTCCCCTTGTTCTCCAAAAACCATTATCATCCATAAGTTATCTCAGTCAGTTTCCTGTGGTTAGGGCAGTATTACCTAGTGGTTGACAAAATGACACCTCATGAACCATTTGCTGTATTTTTGTCCCCACTAGATGGTGCTCTCTGTTCAAAAAATGGCACAAAGATGCCCCAAAGCAAACCAACAGCGCCATCTAGTGGGGTTAAAAACACCACAAATGGTTCATGAGACATAATTTTGTCCATCATTAAAAATCAGGCAAATATGGTGAGAACAAGCAAAGAACAAACCCACCACCACACAGAATCTGTCGGTACATCCAGCTTCAGAAATGAGTGAAACCAAACCATTTACTGTGATTCTGGGTTCCCCAAATCGCATAAGTCAGTTGAGGCTGATTTAAAGGTTGAAAACCCACTGGACACAAACTCGATCCTTTGCTGCATTCTTGTACAAAAAACAGTTCAGATAAACAGAAACCACCGCCTCATCTAGAAGAGAAGTTTTCAAAACATTTTATGTCCCTTGTAGAGCTCTCAGGTCACATGACCCTTATAACAACAAAGCCACACCCCTCCAGCCTTTCTATAGACAATATTGCCGTCGCAATATAAGTTAGAAAAGGAAGAAAAAAAAAACACAGATAATACGTTCTGTAAGGTGGATGACAGCTTTGGGCCGTCGCAGCTCGAATAATTTTCCCAGTCCTCAAATCCAAACCTGTGTGACTGTGCACACGCTAACACACAGGAAACGCCCCTCAAATGGAATTCTGTAATTTGATGCTCTGTCACAGAGGGTGCCTAGACTAGGTGACTGAATGTCCCACTCCATGACAACAGGGATGACTACCTCCATGGATCTGCTGAATGTGCAATGACACCACGCACTTCTCACGCCTCTCCATCAGCAGTGAAAAGGTCCTGGCCTTGCGTCTTCCAATTGGCTGGCCTTCCTAGGCAAGTGGGGACAGAAGCCTACTGAGATCATCCAGCAGCATCTAGTTAGAAGAGGCAGAATAACCAAGGTCTGTTGGCCCTTGGTCACCGTCTGAGTCCATGGAAAGCCAGTCCTCACCACTGATCCCAGTACCAGGCAGCCACGGGCGGCACTGCCGCCTAAAATCCAAACACTCATCGCCAACCACTCTTCTGAAGCTCCTCCCTCAACCAGGTAGGTGCCATCTGCCCCATGCGGCCCAGCAGCCTCAGCAGCTCGAAGTTATGCTCACGGTAGTACTCCGACAGGAAGACACGGGTCTGCAACACAGGGGAGTGTCCAATCAGCAAGAGCCACACACCCAAAGACAGTTACCTTCTCCTTATATTCAACTTCATTGAGAAAGGCTTAATATTATTTTACCATAAACACTTTGTACCGAACGGAACAAATTGAACACGATGGCTTTTTTGGTATAAAATGTTCTCGAGTGTTGCCGTTGTCATGTTTTTGCCGTGTCCATTGGGGTAAACAAAAGCATGCGTGTGTTGAGCTCCCAGAGGGCACCTCTGATGCCATCGCCGGGTACTTCCTGCCTTTGCCCTTGCCCAGGCACTTGGTTCGGCCCCCATCCAATCTCTGGCACCAGAACCCTTTATTCTTGTCAAATCTGAAAGAGGTACCGGAGATGGACTGGTTTCACAGAGTGATACTGGAATGTTCTGTAGGAGAGAATGAAGGCAAATAACGGGCCTTTGGCAGACAGAGGCCGAGAGGAACTCACGTCAGAACCTCTGTGTAACTGTAGTACGGTGAGACCCCCAGGAACTTCTGGATACCGTCCATCACTAGAACCGGGTTTGAGCGGAACAGGGAGCCATCCACTATCATGATCTGGACAAGAGACGGTAATCCAGCTCATCAGACTGGGTCCGTTGCATATAAGACAGAACACGGACAGAGCAGGAGCAGGGAAAGGAACACGAAGCATGGTACTGTGTGATCCGACGTTCCGGAT